ATGACATGAGTGAATATGAAACTATTGCTCGCCTCACATGTGCAAGACCCTGTGTTCGATCTTCAGCATCACATAAAAATATATGAATAAAATAAAGGTATTGTGTCCAACTAAAAAATAAATATTTTTTTTAAATGGAATGGAATTGATAAGTTAAAGACTAAATGTAAGACGAAGGAAATCTGGGAAGCAGGAAGAAGTGTCGTACAACACAAAACAGAAAACAGAAAGCCCAAATCTAACTGCTGAAATTATCTCCAAGTTCTAGAAATCCTGAAATCAATTGTCAGAACAAGCTATTTTCATGTTACCTCCAAGACATTAGAAAAAAGAATTTATCTTTATCAGCTGTGAAATTACTTAATTTTAAATCACAGGACTTCTATCTAGTAATGGAGAGCAGAAAGAATGCCAAAGTAACTTATAAAAAGGTCTTTCAGACTCATTTCACATAGGGACAAACTACTCCCTCTTTTAAGGCCTCCTGTAATGTTTTAGCTAAAGCAGTATGTTCATTCTTTCTTGTAAAAGAATCCTTACCTTTTACAGAATCCACTACTTTATGCAATCAGTTATATCTCTAGAGAAGTTATAATGAGACAAAGTTTGAAATCTAGTTAGTTTTCTTTTAAATCTTGATAATGGGAACTGTATACTTTCTCAAGAAGTACATGTTATCAACATCCCAAAAGTTTACAGACTATTTTTTATATGCTTGAACTTTGTTGAATTAAAGATGTTATGCTAAAAACTTGGGAATCAGGAAGAAATGTTCAATTACACACTATTTTACTTTAAAATAATGCAGTTATATATTTTAGAATGTTTTTCAGATATATGCATCCTTTCAACCTGAATTGATGAGCAAGAACATTTCACAACATTCCATAATATATCCAGTTCAAGCATACCACAGGTTATTTGTAACCATGAAATTTTTCAGGATTTTAAAAGCCAAGTTTAGACAGGGAAGTAGGAATATACAAAAAATTTAACTACTATATTAAAAAGAGAAAAAAGATTCATTGATTTATTGTAACATGTAAATGAAACAATCAGAAGACAAAAGTAAGCAGTTAAAATAGGGGATATAAGGATAGCAGACACTGCATGAAATATAGTTAGGTCTAACAATTAACAATGTCTACCAATTTAATATTTTTTTTTTGGACTCATTTCTTGAATATCATTTTACTGCTAAATTACAGCCAATGTCTAATTCACCTACAACAAAATATTTTTCAATTTCCTACCAGTCTTATCAGGAAGTATCAAAGTATTTATTTTATATCTAAATTTCCTCTTAATTGATATTTTATAAACACCCCAAAATTTTTGCACCAAGTCCAAGCCATAAACCTCAGATCTCACTGAAGGTTTTATCAGTTAACTTTTTGTCTGGTTAGTTACTTTTTTATTGTTTTGGGTGTTTCATCTTGTTGTGTTACAAACAAAAATTTTTTATGTTTTCACACTGATTTTTATGTTTTCTTGATGTGTTATAAACAAAGATTTTTATGTTTTCATATATTGCTGTTAAAGCACTTTAATATTTAATATTCACCCTCCAAAAATATGTATCTTGGTATCTACATATAGAGGGCATTATTTTTTTTTGTCAGAAACAGGGTTTATAGTTAAGTCTCTTACTTAAAAAAAATTCTATATTTAATCTGTTTAATGAACTTCCAGAAACATTAAATTACATAATAATGCTAATCTAGCATATAAACAATCATGACCAAAATTTAACTACCTGTTGAACAAAACATTCCAATTTTATTCACCCTCCCCCGACAATCCATTTAGGTAAACTAAGGCAAAAAATACACCAATAACTATTCAGAAGCCATCTTTGGAAGTATTGGTAATTAAAAACCTAAAAAGTAATCCAGCTCTAAACTAATAATATCTTTTAAACATCACTGTTTAATCCATAATAATTTCTAACAAAGGAAGAATTTAGAAACATGAAAATCATTAACAAGGAGAGAGAACAAATGTCAACTGAGAAAATGTAATTTTTTTCAAAACAAAACAAGCACCTTAGGGAAATGTAGTAACCTTTACAGATAGGCCATGCCCATAACTTGAAACAGATTAAGAATGTAATTTTATGTTAGTTTAATGTTAGATTTAAGCCATTTGAAAGTTACAAATCTTAGACAAAAAACTTTATACATTTAGATAGACTACAGACAAAAATAATCACAACTATGAATAAATTTTAGAGTATACTTTAAATCCAAGTAAGTATAAAAGTCTTTCATGTTCAGTCTAAGTTCCAAACGTTGAGAAGTCATTTATGTACCTCACTCCTAAAAACTATCATTGTCACATGGGGGGGGGATTTACATTTGAAAAAAAAAAATCAAATTTTAAGTGTAAACTTCATGTTACAAATTATAAATAGTTAAGTCTCTTCAAATATATAGTAACAAATAGTTATAAGTGCATGGAGAGGTACAGGTGGAGATGAATACCCTAATGAACTGAGGCCTTTAAGAAATGAAAACTATTTGTCAGTGTTAATGACAGACCAAAAAAAAGAAAGAAAAGGAAAAAAAAAATCACTTGGTTACAGAAGATACTCAGAGATTACTGTATCAGAAGCTATTTTTCAGAATCCTAGAGTAGATAGCAGACTGCTCGATATCTAATGAAGAGTACAAAATTACACAGGTGTAAACTTAAGAGACTTGATAGTTATGCTGGAGACAATAGTCCACATCTGCAACTTAATTTGGTTTCAGCATCCCTAGAGACTTTGAAAATATTTTGGGGGGTAGGTAGGTTGCAAAACAGTGCTTCCTCTTTTATTCACAACACCCCCATGATGATACAAACTAACAGTCAAGAAAATCAAATCACCAACTGTAAGAGCTGAATCAAAAACACACAAAGCACCATCTTTCCAACTCCCGATTCATTCCACCTGTTTGTAAACCCATACTTCCACAATTAACAAACCCCTCTGTTGATAAAGGAGCCAAATTAATGCTTTGGAGTCATTATTCTTTTACCTAAGCATGGGGGAGGGGCTGATACAAAACAATGGATACGGAGGGGCTGGGGGGGAGGAATGATTTTGCCCTGAAGCCTCTGGCGTTAAGAGCTGGGAACGGGGGCGGAGGCTGGGGGCTGGAGAGTTTGACTACTTTCTCTCCCCCGAAAAGCCATCAGGGAGAGATTGCCATCAGGCACGTTCAACTAGGCGGTTTTGGAGGCTACCGCTCGCTTCACCTTGGCAACACACCCAAACCCTATTCACCACTCTTCACCGAAGGGTCTTCAAGAGAGACGAGAGCGCAAGGGCGCCTTGGGCTTTGGGGAGGGGGCGAGGAAAGGCCCCCCCCCACCCCGTATCCCCACCACTACGCCCAGGCCCCAGCCAACCATTTACAAGACTCCAGACGCCCGCAGCCAGGGCCCGGTAGCCCGGGGAGCTCAGCGGAGCAGGACAGTCCGCTGGGCGCCCCCGGCCCGCGCCCTCGCGCCGTCTCGCCCTCGCCCTGGCGCTGGCGCTGTCCCGGCCGTCTTCGTCGCCGCAGGCCGGGCCGGGGCATTGTCAGAGCCCACCCTCTCGCTCCCGTCCCCTGTCTGCTGGCTCTGAACGCGAGC